TGATAAGTGCGCAAAATCAACATTTACAACGCCAACCTTTTTTCCTACTCTGTATGCTTTTAATTTCTAAAATATTTACCAATTTATTCTCATTTAAAAAAAAATGTTATTTCTAGGACTTAATGCAATACTAAACTTAATGCTTTTCTAAGCGTATAGAATAGGATAGACCGGGGCTAGTTGGCTCACTTTTAACATTTGTATTTTTAATTTATTCAGTTTTATGACTTTAAAGCTCAAAATACACCTAACAGTTCACTAACTTGTAAGCTACATAACTAATTTAAATTGCCATCTTAATAATTAATCTATAATTGACAAAAAAAATAAAACTTAAAAAAAATAATCAGGCCAACTTACCCCGTGTATGGGGCAAGTTGACATGATCACTGGGGCAAGTTGCCACACACATGAATATAATCAGTTTTTCCTTATTTATTCATTTATTTAAATTTAGGTATTGTTAAAATATAACAAACATAATAATTAATGAAGCAACAGTATTTTTAAAGTTAAAAATAACCATATTGTGAAAAATCTTATCTCTCCTTTGAAGTCAAACATTATAAATTATAATACAAATATATTCAAATTTCCCTATTTATTATTTAACTAAGGGTATTTCTAAAACATATCAAACATAATAATTAATGTAACAAGTAATTTAATAAAATAACAACTGTAAAACTTATCTCACCTTTGAGATCAAACATTTTAAACTTAAATCTAATCTCTTCTTTGAGATCAAAAATTTTAAACATAATCAAGATCAAACGTTTTAAATTTAAAACTTATCTCTCCTTTGAGATCAAAAATGTTAAACATAATCAAGATCAAACATTTTAAATTTAAAACTGAACTCTTCTTAGAGATCAAATATTAAAAATTATCACAGTTAATTAACAGGTAAAAGGTAGGTTAAAATTACTTAAAATTTATTCATCTGAAAATGATTCATCATCCGATTCGCAATGATGACAAATATAATAATCCTCGCCGGTTGTACAATCTTCGTGGGACCATTTTTTGCATTTAACACATGACACCCACTTTTCATTGGCCCGACTAGATGAGTAAGATTCGCAGCACACTAGACAATATGCATCTTCATCGTCACTTGAACTTGTTCTTCTTTTCTTAGAATTCTTATTTGCAGTACTTTTTTGTGTCTTCTTTTTTATTTGAAATAATTTTTTTTTAACTTTTTTATTATCGCATGTTTTTTTTACTTGACATTTTTTTCTTGCTTCTAGCTTGTCCTTTTCTGGAGTATCAGGCAAAATTGCCGTACACCTTTTTCTCGGATGTTGTCTTCCTTGTTTTCTAGCACCAGCTTTAGGCAGTGGTCTTATGTCTTCAGGAGATTTTTGTATAATTTTTTCATTTTGAGTATTTAAAGTAGAAGCTACTGCTGGTATTGACACTACAATATTTTCAACTTGTTGAATAACAGGGCTATTAGATTCTAACTCTTGAATATTATACACCTGACTGGATGTAGAAGGCATTAGATCAAGATCTTTGTTTAGTTCTTGAGTAGTCTGGTTTATAGGGTCTGGTTGATTTTCAGTTTCAATGTTTAAAGGCCGGTCTGTCACATAACTTGGCATAAAATCTATGTCTGTAAATATTTGAGGATTAAAGGGATATATACCACTGACTGTAAAACCAGCTGTAATATTATTTGGTGTAGCTGCTAATGGCAATGCCTGTTTCACCATTTCAGGAATTTCATAAATCGTCATGGTTTTACCAGGATTGTTCACCATCCATGAGTCAAAAGCCGTACTAATATATTTTTTCAGGGGTCCATACACACTCCTATCTAAGGGCTGTAATTTATGAGAACAATGAGGGGGAAATGATAGAATTGTAATTCCATTTTCTTTAGAGTAATTCAGGCCCTCTATAGATAAATGTGAGTCGTGATTGTCTAATAACAAAAGAACAGGTTTGGTTTTTCAACACCTGACATGACTAACAAAATGTTTTAAATAATCAATGAAGTGAGTTTCTTTCATCCAGCCCGAGGGATTAGCACTACCTACACAACCTAATGGTCCTTTAGCTATGAAGTGATCTTTAAAATGTACTCTTGGGAAAATGAAGTATGGTGGTACACTATTACCTAATGCTGAAACTGCAAAGGCTAACGTCACAAGTGTGCCTCTTTCTGCCGACGTTATTTTGCCAATTTGTTTAAAACCTCTACGTGCAACAATTTAGTTTGGTTTTTGGACAGTGGTTATACCCGACTCATCCATGTTATATATGTCACCTGGACCAAAATTGTAACGATTTAGTACGGTCATTAAATTAACAAAAAACGAGTTAACATTAACTATGTTAAAACTAGATGCGCGGGCTAAACTAGTGGCTTCTGGTATACGTATCTACAGGGCGACGTTTTTTAAAACCAGTGAACCAATCTTCTCCAGCAAGTTCATTTTCAGACCAATTTTTTGGGATGTTAGTTTTATTTAAAGAGCTAGCATAATCAAACGCTAATTTTCTTACTTCTTTCGGGGATAAGCCAAAATAAATATCAGCAGCTTTTTTAATATATTTTGCTAATTCTTCCTTTTCGACAATCGAAAAAACTTGTCTTGGTTTTGTATATCCAATAGAATTATTAAAAATCTCAGAGTTATTAATATATTTTTTACAGTAACTGGATAAAGTTTTAATAGGTATTTGAAAATCATCTGACACACTCTTACGTGAATACTTTTCACTCAAAACCATTTCAACTGCACGTTTCATAACATCCTCTGATACACGTCCTCTATCAGACTTGCGTTTGTAATTTCGAACCATCTATAATATGAACAAATAGAAATTGTTAGTAATATTATTTAAAAAAAATTGTACAAGACAATATGCCCCAGTTTTAGAAGACCAACTAGCCCCAAATTGCTTTTTCATACTTTTTAAGTAATTATGAACATCAGGGACAATATAATTATTAAAAAATAGCTGAATCGTATTTTACATACCTTGTACAGTTGGTTTACTCTGCTGTAAATGTTTAAAAAAACAATTTAATTCGGTAAAAACGAAATTTTTAAAACGTTAAAAAAAAAAACGACAGCTGATAACAATATTTATTGATTATAAGATTAAGGAAAAATCATATAATCACTACGAATTGTACAGTGATAAACAACGATGGACATAATACAATGCTGTTGATGCAGTGTGTCCAACTTAAACACTCGATTTTAAAAATCGACTTGGTCAACTTACCCCGGTACCCAACTAGCCCCGGTTTCCCTTACACATGTCACGTACAATACAATAATCTGACTGAATTACATATCAAATGTAGGTAGATAAGTTAATCTCTACAAGATTATTGTGATATACTCTCAATCAATAAAATGTTGTAGTGATAAATATTCGGTATAAGCATTCATACGTTGAACCGAGTTAATATAATCATGATTATGCTGTTTAAATACATAATTATGTTCTACTGTGTCGTTTCACTAGTAATGCTTTAGTTACTACAAGGGTTTACAATGGCATTACTTTAAGGATTTTAAAAATATAATTTTCTTCTGTCCGTAATATCAAATATGTTGTTGATCATGTGATACACTAATATAATATAATATAGCGAGTAAAGCGAGTGGAATTTGGTATTTGAATAAATAACACACCACAAATAAATTAAATGATTAAACACACTACTATTGTCAAACACATAGAGTAATTACAATAATAGATTATATTATTACATAGCATGGTATGAATCGCCAGTATTAAAATCGAATTGCTTTCACAAAAATTTGTGTTTTTTTTAGAGGTTTTATAACACTTGACATTCTTGTAAAATTACTATGTATATAAATCTAAAATAAACCTTTATTTATTTTTAACTTTTTTTATTTATTATTACGCATAATAATAAATGCAGCACGCGACTAGTTCTAAGTCTATATAGTCACAACTGTCTTAGCAAACACATAGCGAACAAGTAAATTATGAACAAACGTTTGACTTTAATTTAGGACCTTCAATAGGTACTTTTAGAACACATAAAGTTTTACATTAAATCATTTTTTTTTCAACAGCATTTCTTTCCTAGGCAACAATTTCTTTATTTATTAAAAATATACCACTAAACAAAATTCAATTCAAATATAAAAATTCATAGAGTTTACATCATAGATATTTTAAATCAAATTACTTATAACAATGTTGAAGTTCCGTAGTTTGACACGTTTCCAAAGTACACTTGGAAAACCAAGGCCAGTGTTAAAACAAATTGATATTCCTTCAAAATTTGCTATAGTTAGTGTGTTATTGTTATTATTTTCCTAGTAGTTACTATGATTTTTAATCCTAAATTGTATATATTTGTAGTTATTAACAGGGTGCGGAAGACACGATGGCACCAATCCCCTAGTAGCCTCATCTATATTTGTTCACATGTCGCGATTGAAAATTCCATTTCAATGCTATGCTCCACAAAGAAACCTAACCGAAGTGTTTAATCACTTTAAAGTAAGACCTAACTTTAAACAACAATTTGCAAGAAACACATTTTATTAAATTAATGGCCCTCTAAGTATGGTATCGGTCAGGCAAGTGAGACAGATGATTCTTAGACCTTTATTTGTAATCACCTACAGTTACCTATAGGTGGTGGGTAAGTGCCAAATTTGAATTTGGATTTCCACCTGTAACTTAAGAAATGGAAAGTTTTGTGTTATGAATGCTTGAATAGGAAAAAAAATTACTTGCCTCATCAACGTCTTCTGGCATCGTTAGTACCCATGTGAACACAGGTCTCGACAACGTATATGATATTTCACAATTAAAGTTTTATTGGTACTATACAACTGGGTGATCAACTATTTGGAAGTACAAGTCTCTTTTTATTTGATTAAATAGCTCAATAGTTTGTTTTAATAGAACGTCATACTATTTGTTAGTATAGAGACAGAATACAATTAACATTATAATTTACTGAAATTTGTATTTTCATTTTGTAGAACAAAACTGAGTTGCAACCGCCTTACCGGTGTGCATTAATCGAGTCTGCCAGGATAGCTAGAGGGAATGTTTTACCGTTGCACAAATTGAGGAGTAACGTATGTCATCATAAAGCCCTAATTATTCCGGACGGACAAGGATCGATAAAGACAACGTCAGAATTTAGTATTGTCTATTATATTATGTGCAATATAACATTATTTAATTGTGGAATTTTAGATTGGATTTTGACGAGGGGAAAACCATTATCCCCGAGGTCGAATATGTTTTAAAAGAATTTATAAATGCTAGAAAACCAATAGGATTTATGGGAATTTCAGCATTATTAGCTCCTTTTGTGGCCAAACACCCTACAATTACGTTGGGCAAAAATGGTAATTACATGCAGCGATAGATTAAGTTTTATATTGAGATTTGTTATTTGATTGTGCTAGACGATCAATGCAAATGGCCGTTTAGACACTTTATACCGATTGCAGAAAAGCTCGGAGCAAACGTTTTGTTAATGGAACAAAATGAAATTTGTCACGACAACAAAAATTTGATGTATAGCACACCATCGACTTTGTATTCTGCGCCCAATGGAAACGTTGTAGATATTCACGATGCTTGTTGTTCATTTGTAGCATGCATGTACCAAATAGCTGACGTTTGTAATAAAAACAATTCTATTAAAAATTGTACACAATAAAATTTCATTGGTTATTATTTTAGCGAACGTACAGGGAATTTTAAAGCTAATTTGAGAAAGGAGGGTAGGAGAATTAATTTTCCGGACAGAAGTCATTAAAGGAATGATAAATCAGCTGCGTGCCTACGATAAGACAAGGGAGGAAGGTTAAGAAAGTATTGGAGAGGATAGTATTCGCGAGGAGGACAAGGGATGCGAAGTCAAAACACTGCCTTGCCACTCGTAAAAAGCGCCTCTGGACTAATTCATTTATAGCTCAGTGGTCTGAAATAGCACTTTAGGTGGACTTAAGTCAATTTTAACATATAAAAACTTTTACAAGCACTTTTTATAAAGTGCATGTAGTGCATATATTGAATATAACCTATAGAACTTGGACATTTATTTTGAATGGAGATATATTTCCTTATTATTTTCTTATATTACAATTTGTAATCGACAGTAGAGATTTTCCACAAAAAAACGCTATTTAAGCTACTCTATTGAATAGGTATTAAATATTATTACACGATATAGCAGTGAACCCAAGTAAAATATTTTTGATTAAAATGTAAAAAAAAATGATAATGATTCTCATTATTAGTCGACATTCAACAGAATGGTATTGCTAATTGCTATTACAAAGATTTCAAGGCGGATCAATCCATCTTGGATATTACTATGCATAGACTTATATTCAGAGCCTGATTTAATGAAATTAGGGCCAAGTGCACCAACCTATTAGAGACCCCCAAGTCAAACATTTTCTGAAAAAATCAGCAGAGAGTGGAGGAAGAAACGTCGGTAATTAAAACAAAATGTTGTTTATGTGTTAAATACCTATCTCATAAAATATTTGTACATTATTTTATGTACTATAAATACAATTTTAAATCATATTAAAAAATTAGAATTTTAATATAATTTAAATTAAAATAAATAAATTTGCAGTCTCGCTTTAAAATGAAAAAATAACTTATTATTATATATAATTAAAATTACGTTTGTTAACAAACAGGAAGTTGTCACGATCATTTGCTTTTAGGAGATAAATAAATCTATTTATTTCATATGTATTTTTGTAATGCTAATGTTTTATGATTTAATACAGAAAAAGAAAAATGAAATAGAAATAATGTTACATTTCTGTTTTTTATAACATATTATAAAAAAGTTAAATAATTACAATGATTTCTATCTTGCTTTTTTCGCTGCAAACGTTTCAATTGCCGAGTCAAAGTTTATCGATGACGTAACATCACTCTCAATAGTCAATAAAGCCAACCCGTCTAAACGTTACTGTGTGATACAAGACCTCATGCGTGTTTTGATTCGTTTCAACGCTGAAAAAGATCTCTCACTAGAGCAGTTGGTAGACGGTATTGTTAGGGGTATATATTTTGTAATAATATTTCAATATTAAGAAATGTATGACGTATATCTGCTCATCTGGAGTGATTGACTTAACCAAATCACATGCATTTTCAAACTGTGACAACTCATTACCGTTGTGGCCAGAAAATTCGGGCACCAAACGCCGCACTACGGTATCCATTATTTTACTAGCGGAAAATACATCATTTCCACTTATGGAACCGTTGTTATCCTCCATATTTGTATCAAGAGAGTTACCTACTACTACCTATTTCAAAAATACGCGACTGAGACAATAAGTCTACTACAGACTCAGAATCTCCCAAACTTATATCCAAACTCTTATTCATAAAACTAACTTAAACTAATGTTACAATTACTTTTCAATTCTTACAAAAACTGGAGAATTTTCAATGTTGATGACGTTCCGGAAATCCAACACGAAGATGAAGTTGCACAGCAAGGAAAGAAATAACTCTTGCCTGATACTTAACGTCGCCTAGAATCGTTTCTCTAAACTGAAAAGTTCTCAGGCCGTTGACACAGCAACCGCCGCACAGTGGTCTGAAACGCAATTTTAGCTGTAAAAAACTTATATTGATCAAATTTTCATCAGATTTTGTCTAAAAAATTATAAAAAAAATGGTACTTAAGGTTTTTGGGGTCAAAGAGTTCAAAATTTGTATCAATTTTTAAATTCACGTATAATTTTAAGATGCAAATAAACATAATATTTTGTTTTTAAATTGAAATTTAACTTTCGTAAACTTCTTCATCTGTTTCATAACTTAAATTTAATAATTATTTTACGTCATTGTCCAATTAATTTTTTTTTTGTTGTTGGTATGTTGCAAATTGAGGAAATATATGGATCTAAAGTGACAAGTAATAGGTGTAGAACGTCTTCATTTTGAGCTACTCTACTAATTTTTCGCGAGTGATGTTCGCGATAATTTTTATAGTCTTTATTTCAAGCTTCCTGTGCTTCCTCGGAAAGGTGTCCTTAAAAATTTTCATATTACATTAGTTAATTATAATAAAGTTTATAATGGCTTTTACACCAAAGTCTTTGTAAAACCAAAGTAATATTTAAAATTGAATGGTTGACTAACTTAATGTATTGCGGTTCCCATTTTACATTTTCAGACCGTGCCCTCAAAATTTCAAATAAATAGTTTCTCGATTTTAAAGAATGGGGATTTAGTGGACCTCTATTTTTTAATAGCTGATAAAAATCATTATAAGTATAATACCGAGAATCAGTGGTATTCCAATTCAAATTGTCGTCAATTTTAGAATCATTTATTCCAACACTGCCGCTAGAGCTACCTACAAAAAAAATTATTAAAAATACAGATGCTAATTGATGCAAACCAAATTTTGGGATCTGGTACTGAAGAATAAGTACTATATTGTCTATATATTAAATAACGATTATTATGAGTTATTTTTTAGTTATACGCTTTGATATATTAACATTTTTTTACTACTTTTTAACTTTGTTTTAATAGTAAAATAATAAATATTTATGGTATTAATATGAAACACTTACCTAAGTTTTCAAAATTCATTATTTATATGAAACTAATAAAAAAAAAAAAGTTAACCTGTGTATAATATACTAATGAACTTTAATGTAAATCGGTGAACGATTCGACGTTTGTGAGCGCGTTATTATGTTTTACTTATCGCTTGCGCCGCTTGATAATGTCAATATTATCTGAAATTCTATTTTTATGTTATATAGAACTTATATACAATGGGTTAATGACATAAAATACCTATTTTTATGAATTTTAATAATTGACTTTATTCCACCTAAATTAGCTTTTAGACCACTGTGCGCCGCCTTTGTATTCCCTCGTATCTCCGATTCTTCTACTGGTAGAATATCCGAGTAGTCAAGCCGTAGGTTCTTTAATAGGGTTATACCTGGTTTCGGCACCAAAATAATGTCCCTGTTGTAGACTTCAATGTACAAGTCCAAGTTCGTGACCAGATCATAGGAGATATACCGTCAGATTTGTATAATCAACACCACAAGTATTGTTATAACATATATAATTATTAATATTTCACGTAACATTAGTATAGTTATTTCAATAGAGTATTTAATACTGGATAAATATAATAACTGCGTATATAGTAGTACAATAATTATAAGTCTAACACAGCACAATTCAGTTGAGTTCACAAATCACGAATAAAAAGTTATATAATAACAAATGAACCCGATGGGTAATGCAAGGTTTATCTACTTCCTACACATATTGATAGCCACCGTGAGGACTACGCTCACAACACCTCCTCTTTTAAAGAAAGGGTTATTATTTTGTTATTAAGCCTTACTTTATCCAGTTATATCAAATAGTTTTATACTATTATACCCTTTTCATGCGATTCTTATCAAGTTTCTATGTGTAACATTTAACGATTCGGTAGTAGATGGGTACGCTGACCCCTACAGTACTATGCCATATGATAAAACAGACTCAACCAGAGCAAATTATACATTACGTAAAGTAAGTAAATCTAAGGTCATATTTAATTCTTCAACCACAAAATAAAGCTTCCTTGATCTCTTGGTATTTATATTTGTTTGTGTTTTGCATTTCATATCTTCATAAAAAAAGTTCCCGAGTATTTAACTTTACAAACACGATTTAATTAAAAATAATCGGAGTCGCAATTTAGATTTCCCAAATATTTAGACTAGTGATTTTCTAGTGCAATTATTTTAGGTAGAGAAAAATTGAGTAAAGCAAATGACATAAAAACAGTTTTGCTTGTATTACACGAAAGAGAGTTAGTAGCTAACCAATTTTTTACTGTGATAAAATCTTGATCAAATAAATCATTAATATAAATAAAAAATAGTAGAGGTCTGACGCGGTAGAAATGGGGGGTAGAAGTAAATAGAAACGAAAAAAACCCGATTTTAAAGAGTTAAGGTTTTTTTTTATTTTTTTTTAACTTACAAAAGAAACGTGGTAAAACGTGAATACGCGGGACGGCGGCGGATGGCAAACCGGACCAATGTTAAATTAATAACTGATTATCGGATTGCCTACAGTGGTCATCGCCGCCGTGTTTCGCTGTAAAGATGACACCCCCCGGACCTCTTCATACACCGACGGCCGGCTCGGGCCGATATAGTAGTTTATCTTTCCCACCTGCGGTGAGACGGTGGACAGTTGATAACACGACCGGGCGCACATTTAATCGCTAATGACGGAAACATGCACTTGCAGACCGTGTCAACCCTCCCCCACTAAACGGTCCAACCGGTGAACTTAATCGGTGTCTGTTCCTCCCTGTCTTTCACATCTCCTCGAGTGACATCGCTGAAACCTTTTTCAGGCAAGCGGGCCATCAGAGCACTCGCATCGCACCGGTGACCTGATGGTCAAGGGCGGGCGTAGTAGAACTGAGAAGGAGGGGACAGGGAAAGGAAAGAAGTTGGAAGGTGGTGTCTGACGGTGGTTGGAGGAAGATGTCGATTTCCTCGATCGTATGGTCAACTTGACCATCGACGGTGACGTCCATCATTGCATCCTCTTCCTCCTCTGCCGTTGGTGTTACCGGGGCATGTGTCCTCGGTGTGGGGATTGGTTGCCTCTTCGCCGAGGTCTTCCCTGAGTCGGTCTGTGGCGTTGGTTTCTCCAACCGATGTTGCTGGGATATCCGACTCCTTTCT